GAACAGGCACACTTTTAGAATAGGTGCATGTCTTGTTGACTATGGCTAAATATGAAATGTTATGGAAAAATAGGAAGAAGAGATGTTTCACTGAGCAGTGCCATCCCCAGCTGGACCATTGTGGCCCCTACTGATCCAGGGACTAATACTGAGCCTGTTTGCTGCTTTTCCCATTGGTAATGTTTTTGGTTGGACTTTGGTTCCCACCTTCCTGCAGAAAGCGTGGCTCTGGCTTTCAGTTCAAAAGTCCAAGTTCTGGAGGGCTTTCTGCAGTTTCAAGCATGGCACATGTGCAATCTGCTATGCATCAGCGAGACAGTAGACCAAGACGTCAGCTTGGATGATGATGATGATGATGATGATGATGATGATGATGATGATGATGATGAAAACAAGCAAAATACTGATCTTTCCTAGTGCATCCTCCTTCTGGCATTCCACTCCCACTCTGCCAGCCAAGACTCACATGACAGTTGATTAACAAAATGACCAATTAACTTGCTGAGAAGAGTGTACTGGTGTTTGCAAAACCAGTGGTTGGCAAAATGGGTGCTCCGGGGGTGGTGTGGGGAGGGATGGCAGGTACAGAGTATTCTTCTTGAGTTCAGATTTCAATCTCACCCAGAGAAGAGGACTGGGGCTTTAAAAATTCCCTTCTCATTTGAGCTGAGGGACAAAGAAGGTATAAAAGAGAATGCATATTCTCTGTGATTAACCCACTTTCCCATGTGTGTACCATTGTATGTTCAGACACTTGGCTCTGTGAAATAAGGGGAGTGATTGCTATGATAGTCACATAGTAACATTTCTTGTGATAGACATCAGCGTCATTCATCTGACACTTGAAACACAGAGAGCTGGATTCTCACTAGACGCTAGGATAAAGTGTTGTATCGTCACCGGTTTTGAAGGACTGGCATTTTCCTTCTCGTTTGCCCAGTTGCAAACGTGTTTGGCCCTTTGCCTGGCTTAGCAGAAAACTGCATTTTAACTCTTCATTCAAAAATAGCTATTTTAAATTGGTTCTTTGAGAGGAGAAGAACAAATACTGAGCCCCAGAAGGAGTGAATATTGCTAGCAATGAGGGCTGCCCACTTCCTAACCCCACCTCCTCCTTGGTGAAAAGAAGGAGCGACAAGTAATGACGATCATAAAAGAAAAAAAGAAAAAGAAAAGAAAGAAGAAAAAAAGCTGCCTGTGGAAATTGATTTCCCTAAACTGGGAGATATGTGGATTAGAGCTAGCATGAGGTATCAGAGTCATTTCTGTCAAGCAGGAGGAATGGCAAGATTATCACTAACCTGAAAGGACAGCTCAGTTGGAGCTGCCAATTACAAGTAATATATGGTGCTGGTTTTTCATTTAATTGGGGAACTGTCGGGATGTGTGTGTGTGTTTTAAAAGCTGCAGAAATCACAGGAGTGAGTTGTGAACTTCATATTCCCTTGTACAATTTACTTTGAGAGGATCCTGGGGGAGTGGAAAGCTCATAGAAAGGGTTGCTACATGTTTCTGGTCACCAGAGTCTTGTTAAAAACCAGTTTCCTGGTTTTGTTTATTACTCTGTATACACATTCAAAAAATGCTGATAACAGGAATTCTTATAAGTTTTGAGGGATAAATCACTCCACCTGTGTTCACTTCTCAATCTCACAAAAGTGTGGTGCAGTCTCTTTTTAAACAGAATTAAGTCTGATGGAGAGTAAGGATAAAATCCCTTGCTATTTAAGAGAAGCAGCAATGTGTCTCTCATTGATCCCATTTTCATAAGAAAGGTTTCTTACAAACCAAACGTATACTTTATACTGTTTTGAGATCACATGGTATGGCCATATATCTGATTACTATGAGAAATCCTTAGAAGTAAGCTCTTCAAGTCATTTTCTTTTTCTCTCCTCCTATTCATACTTTCACTGGAAAAAGTTAAAAACAAACAAAAAAAACTAGACCACAAGTTCTAGAATCCACAAACCACCATGGTCAGTCGAATCGTGGTGTTCTGGCAGTGGTAATCTCCAAAGGGGTATTTCCAAGGTCTACTAATTACCTCAGGGGATGTATGCCCCACACCCTGATGTCATCCTCATGTTTGCGAGATGTGCACACCGATTCATAGTACGCTTCAGCAATGTTGTCATCTAGTGTCCCACAATCATGCTTACTTGAGGTATACAAAGCTTGCTTGAGGTAAAGGGTAGCTCCTTAAGAGATCCTGGGAGGCAGAGACCATACTGCTGGGAGGGGTCTAGAGGTTGTAATCCCCCCCCAAAAAAAGGAACTTTTGCAAGCTGTGAAGACGCCTTTGCGTCTTCTGACCCTTGCCTCAGCATGTAGTTGCTGCTGCCCCCCCTGCGGTCAGCAGACACAATAGAAAGAACACCATCTCACAGCTCACACAATAATTGACTTCCATGGGTGAGTGAGCTGGTCATTCATCCTGGGTGCCAAGCTGAAGGGACACCCATGCTCAGCTCAATGGCATGGTGTTCATGAACAAGGTTAAAAGAAAGCACAAAGAGTGTTTAATTTCTCTCCCCCCAAGCCTAATTCAGTTTGCTAACAATGTTTCTTTCTCCAGTTTTAGTTCGCGGCTGTTTTTTTATAAACAAAAACAACAGGGTGATATTACCCAGCTCCATAAATATAATATGCACTGCAGACATTATAAATATTTATTTTTGAAATAAAACTGTAAGCTAATAGAGTGGAGGGGAAAGGCACTGAAGGTATTCCTCACCCATTATGATGGCTATTCTTGAACTAACTCTCCTGTCAGCTCTTCAAAGTCCCATTTGCACAGATTTTACTTGATCCCATAAGTAGTAATGCTGAGAACAAAGATAGCTGTGGGGCGGCGGGGTGTGTGCGTATTCTCTGAATTGTTCAGTGTGATTTGTCAAGGCCATTTGTCAAAAAATGTGTTCTGGTTACTGTGTTGGACAAAGCTCATCCTATCATTAGACAGATGAAGGCTCTACCTCAGGTAAGGAGCTGATTTGGGTTGTTGTGAAAGGGCAAAACAAGGAGGTGTTTGTTTATTTTTACTGCTGGGTTTGGGGAAGAGGTGTGCCTTGGATTATCTGCCTTCATACTGTAGCTCGAAGTGATTTGTTTCTGTGTGAACCTTATCTTAGGAGGATGAGCGGGCAGACAGACAACATTCACTGGTGCACCTCAGGTATAAAAATATCCAGCACAGATCTGGAGCAGTGTGCACTGTTAGCAGCAGCAGTGGGGCACTAAGGTGGCATGGGCATCAAGGTGGGTGAGAGTAGGGCTCATTTCTGTGTGCTTTGTGCCATCAAGTTGATTCTGATTTACAATGCCTCTAGTAAAGTCTTCAAGGTCTGTGAGATAGAGGGGTGTGTGTGTGTGTGTGTGTGTGTGTGTGTGTGTGTGTGTGTGTGTGTGCGTGTGTGCGTGTGTGCGTGCGTGTGTGCGTGTGTGTGTGTATTGCAGGGAGGAAAGGAAGACCAAGTTAAGCAAAGCAGAATATTTAGTCTTCTTAAGAACATGATTGCTGAACTTGTCCTCCAGGTGGCAGCATAGCTAGGTTTCCAGATAGCAGGGATGGGGCAAATACTGTAAGCAAGATAAGTGTTTCCTGAATTACTTTCAATGAAATAATACTTCCAGTCTTTATAAACATGCAAATCAAAATTCTATTGTAAAATACTGAATGCATGATGGGAGTTGTGCAAGCAATGCTTGCAATTTTTCTGTCTGTTTTGCATCTGTGCATGCACCAAGTGTGCAACTGTGTGTGTAGCCTGGTTATGCCTGGACATGTGACAGGTAGCTGGGCCTGTTGTGCACACCAGCTATTCGAATTGACAATCACGATCATAAAAGAAAAAATTATATTGATGCATCATGGTCATTATATTGATGGTTGATTTGCAAAGGCAAGTCAGATGTGTAGAGAATGGTATTAGTTCATGGCACTGAGTTTTCCTAGCATGGCATAGTGGATAGAGATTCTGGAGAACAAGGTTTGAATCCATTCAGCCATGGAAACCTACTGAGGGAGTGCAACTGGTAAAACTACTCCTTAAATAGTTCACTTGCCTTGAAAACCCTATTAAATTTGCTACAAGTCAATTCTGACTGGACAGCACATTAAATTGCATGGAATTGTCGGTTTTCTCCCATTCTTGAAGAGAGTACTGGGGCTTATTTATTCTGTGCCTATTCAGCCTCTCCATATTTTAAAGGCATAGAGGTGCAAAAATATGCCCACGTGTGGTATTCTGAAATATGCATGTGTCAGACAGGCGATTGTATTCCTTGCCTCTTCTGGAGCTTATTCGCTAAACCTGTACAACAGATTCCATGGATAACAGTTAAACACTGAAAATACAATGATTGTAATTTGCAGAACTGGCCCAGAGTGAGGTAGCTACCTCAAGCAACAAGTTAGTGGTATCATCAAAAGGGCATCAAGGTATCAGCAATGGCAGCAGTAGCAGCTAAATGCTGAGGCAAAAGGTAAGAAGAGGCACGTTGTCAGAATGGAGAGAGTCGTTTGGGATTTTTTTGCCTCCTGTGCCACAGTAACTGGATTTGTTTCTGTGGGAAGATGCCACTTGCTGTTCTGCCTCAGACAGTGCTGTCTCTGAGAATGTCACGGGAATGTTTCGGTGGCTGAAGCCCTGAGAAGAGCCCTACAGAAAGTCCAGAACCTGCTGAGGCAACCACTGGAAAGCTACTCAGGGAACTACTTCAACACAACAGATCGATGTATATGAGCTCACCATGGAATCTGTTCAAAATGGAATAAATGTTATGTCAGAATCATCCCTCATTGTCACCCACGGGAGTAAACACATTTCCCTGAATAGGAAATGGAATGAACTATATCTGCCTTCACAGAAATTATGAGGAGCAATTTGAATTCAAGTGCCTCTCCTGTAGGTTACAAATCACCTCAGAGTGTTATTCACCATAATGCTGTCCAAACATCATTTTATTTATTGATGTTTATTGCTTCTCTTTTTCAGAGTGATGAGGTTTTGACTGTCATCAAAGCAAAAGCACAATGGCCTGCCTGGCAGCCGCTAAACGTGTAAGTAGGCAGGGAATTAAACCTCCCAAAAGACTTCTTTTTCTCACTGTTTTCTGACAGAATTCTCTCAGCATCTTCCCTTCTACGAAAGTTTATCTCTTTCAAGGAGTGACCAGGGGAAGAAGGATCCTCTTGATAAATTCCTTTATATATATATATTTCTCCCTTCTCTCTCTCTCCCTTTAACAGCAGGGCAGGAGAACACATGGCCAGGGGCCAAATCCAGCTCTTCTGAAGACCTGTTCTAGCCAGAAGGCTCCCCTTTCTTCCCCCTTGTCTAATGGCTTCCTAACTTTTCCTCCCTGCTCCCCCATCCCTCATCTAAGTCTTAGTAGCAAGCAAGACAAGTTTTCAGCTAAAATCCACTTGCATTTTTTGGTTCTCTACTAATGGAGGCCATGAAAATTTCTTTGAATTTCAATTTGGCCCTCGGGCGGCAGGTTCTCCGTCTTGCTCTAACAATAGAAGGGGGCATAAGTAACACTGAAATAGAAGTTTGAATTATTTGCCCAGCATTGCACATATACATTAACATTCTCTTGTTCCTTCCTTCATCTGAACAGTGAAGCGCTGTACCTATGCTGCACACCAATTGGCCAACCCCCTGCATGTCTACTCAGAAAGACTAACGTATTTCAGTGGAACTTATTCCCAAGTAACTGTGTGGAGAGTGACACTATTAAGCTGGCTGTGGTAACTTCAGTTCTGTGAAAGAGTAGGAAACTCTAAGAGACCATTCTTATGAGACTCCAACTACAACTCCTTGAAAGAGAAATCCTGAATGTTCTTCTGTTTAAAGCAGACATGGAAACATTTTCTGCTTTAGATTGTTTTGGGTTTCAATCTCTTGCCATTGGCTGTGCTGGGTACTGATCTAAAGAAACATGTGTCTGTATGCAACCATTTCTACTAGTAATAATAATGACAATGGTAATATATTGGACTCTACCCAATGGGCCCAATAGCTTTGTCCTCCTAAAATACCCCCATCTCCCTCTGCCTCTGTGCCTGCTAACCCAGAATCATTTGAAAGTAGTGCCCACTGGTCTGAAAAGTCATACAAGGTGAACATGAGTTCTGTTACTTACTCTTGGGGAAAACTCTGCTTAACAGAATTAATGCTGGTCATGGTTGTTGTGGGTGTTTTGGGCTCTTTGGCCGTGTTCTGAAGGTTGTTCTCCCTAACGTTTTGCCAGTCTCTGTGGCCAGCATCTTTGGAGGACAGTAACCTGTGCTCTGGCACAGAGTGCTGTCCTCTGAAGATGCCGGCCACAGAGACTGGTGAAACGTTAGGAAGAACAACCTTCAGAACACGGCCAAAGAACCCGAAAAACCCACAACAACCACTAGAGCCTGGCCGTGAAAGCCTTCGCAAATATAATGCTGGTCATGCTTCTCTTAAAATCAAGGCACGTGCATTGTAAAGTGTAACTCTTATAGGACATTAGAGGGCCTGGGATGCAGACTCTTTGAATGGCAGGTCTTTTGATTGACAGCACCCACCAACTCTACCTAGTACAGCCCATCCACCCTACAATGCATGGGAACCTTTAGGATTCCTGGTATCTCAGTCTCCAAGTTCCATCGGTCCGAACAGTATGGTCATTGTGGATTGTACTCTTTGAATGGCAGGTCTTTTGATTGACAGCACCCACCAACTCTACCTAGTACAGCCCATCCACCCTACAACGCATGGGAACCTTTAGGATTCCTGGTGTTTCAGCCTCCCAAGTTCCATCAGCCCGAACAGTATGGTCATTTGGGATTGTGGGAGTGCTCACCTAAAACATTTGGCAGGCGAAAGCGCCAAATCCCTGTTCGAATTTTACCTCCAGCCTAGAACTTTCTCTAGTTGAATGCTGACAGGAATATTTCTCCTCAACTTTTTTGTTCTCTTGCTACATCCCAATATAAGCACCTGTACAATGGATTGTGCAGCCTTCTCTTGAGCATTATTTGGTGGAGGTAGAGGCTTGGGAGTTCTTTCAAGGGACTGATAGTGAAGGCTTCCTTCCTACCTGAGGAAACTGGGAGGGAGGGGGAGAGAGAGAGAGAGAGAGAGAGAGAGAGAGTCTCTTCTTCAAATTTCTCTTCCAGACTGGCTTTCCTAAAGCTTTTTTCATGAACACCTTCAGCCGTTCAAGGCTTATGCATCATTTGCCCAGTCCTGTGGACTGTGTACTTTGGGAAATTGTGCTTTCTGTCTAAATTATATAACATTTTTTTTCTCCCTACATTGTTATGGATCTGTGAAAAATTACTTTTTTTTTCCAAGGGTGTCAACTCTGTATCTCTAATGGGATAAAAAAAATTCAATCACAATTTTTGGGGGCATTTTTATTCCTGTTGTTTTAGGAGGGAATAGTTTTAAACAATGCGTACATAACCTTTTCCCCCCATGCTTACTGAAAGTGACTACTGTCAGGACATTTGTATCTGCATATTGATTGTCTGGAGAACTGGATTTGCTCACAAAGTGTGTCTGATCCCTCCAGTCCTCACATGCAGAAGGTTTCAGAAAGAGAGTTTTGGAAAGTTATTTTTCGAGCTCCAGTGGCTATAGTCCCTCAATTAGCACATCCGGTGCCCATGCTGGTTGAGAGATTCTGACAGTATAATCCAAATAAACAGCTTTCCCCAGTTCCATTCAGGAGTGCAATTGCATACTTAGAATGGACTCAACCTGCTTTGAACAGAGCCAGCTTTATGGAGTCTTGGAAAACCATGTCTTTTAAATAAATTTGGAAAAGGCAGATGTGGTCACAACTGATCTATGCAGCTACATATTACCTTTAGACTTCTGTAATTCCCTCTCTGTGGGGCTACTCTTGAAGATTGCTTGGAAGCTATAACTGCTACAACATGTGGCAGCTAGTCTACTATTGGATGCCTCCTGTCATGATCAGTGCACCAGTTGCATTGGCTGCCAGTGGTTTTCCAGTTTCAATTAAAGGTTATTACCTTTAAAGTCCTAAATAGCATGGCTCCTACATACCTACTAGATACTTCTACCCAGATGAATCCCTGCACCAACTGAGGTTATCTGGAACTGCTCTTCCAGAAGTGCTGATTATTAAAGCTATCTGACTTGAATGTATGAGGAAAGAAACCCTTTTGTGTTCTTGTCCCTGTGCTTTGGAATTCTCTTTCTGAGTCCCTGCGTTGCCTGACATCCCTGCAAGGATTCAAGAAGAGATGCCATGCAGAGTTGTTCTGGTCAGCTTTTGGGTGTTAGGAAACTGCTCTTCCATCACTTGTGTGACAAAAATTCATTATAAGTAGAGATGGGCATGAACTGAACTGAGAACCAGAAAACTGAGCAGTTCAGCTTGTGATCCAATTTGGGGGTGCCATTTTGCTGAAGCAAAACAAAAGACTGAACTTTCCCCCCATCAGCATTTCATTTTGCTTTGGGAAAACGGGTGCCTGTCTATCTCCTTTCCATTGCCCCCATCACCTCCCTGCCTGGTCCTGCCGCCGCCCTTGTCACCATCCTCAGAGACAGCAGGCCTGGCTTCCCTTCTAGTAGCTGGGCCTCCTGCCTCAGTGCATACGCCCACCTACCAGCTGTATTCCCTTCTAGGAGCTGGGCCTGCTGCCTCAGTGCATGCGCCCACCTACCAGCTGTGTGGTGGGTGCATGTGCAGAAGCAGTAGGCCCTGCTCCTATTTATAGTACAGTGCCTGCTTATAAGGTTGATGGGTTGTGGGGGTGTATGCATGTAAAGTGTCTTGCATCTTGCTGCTAGCTACACATTCCCCTGCATGTGTCTAAAAGGCTTGACCTGTTAAGATTTTTGCCCTCACCTAAATTTCCCAGGGCACTTCACAAGACAGCAGGGAAAGGCAGAAGAGACAAAAGTGATAAAACAAAGGAGTCAAGGCCAGACCTGCCAGTAAAGAGAAAGATAACTGTGGGCTTAGGCTACAGATTTTGGCTCTGTCACCACAAAGAATGCAACTTTATAGATAAGAGGAATCACTGAAGCAGAGTCAAGCAGGATTCATCTGCCCGCACTATCCATCCAAAGAAATTCCTTGAGGCCTTTCTCTGCAAACTGTCCAAAGATGAAGCCCTGTCCACCTGGGCAGCTTCCTTCTGTCTGTCTAGTCCCAGCCTGTGTCTCTGTTTTACAAAATGCTTCTAAGCCTGCCGGGACATTCCACAGGGCTTTTATTTCCAGTTCTTGCTCATGCTGAAATGTAGCCACTCGTTTCTCCTCCCCTAGTCTCTGGGGAGTGGTAGTGGGAAAGACAGGCAGACATTGGAAGTCCAGTAAGGGAGTATCTCCCATGGGGATGAAAGAGGAGGAGACACCTGGTTAGCAGCAGTGAGCACCTTGTCCTGCATCAACAGAGACAGAAGGTCAGGCTAAGGGCAGCTGTCAACAGTGAGGGAAAGCACAAAACTGTGGTGTACACAAACAGGATAGGCACAGCTGGTCTTCAGAGGCAGTGTCTCAGTCCTAAAGCCTGCAAGCACAAATAGCAATGCTTGGGCAGGAGGGTAGCTGAGCTACCCTGTTTCTCCTAGTCTATCCTCAAAGTGGCAGCTTTACTTAGTCCTAAAGCCTGCAAGCACAAATAGCAATGATTGGGCAGGAGGGTAGCTGAGCTGTTTCTCATAGTCTATCCTCAAACTGGCATCTTTACTTATGGCAGCTTTAATCATGGCAAGGCCATCTCTTTATCTGGCTATACAAGCCTTGCTTCTGCAGTCTTCATTCAGGGAGTGATTGCATGGAGAAATAGATGACATTTTTGATTACTTGTGGAGTAGTTTGGTGCAATCTGTTTCCCAGTGACAGCACAACGTATGGGGAAATGCTTGACCCCAATTCATGCCTGCCCAAGCTAGACCTTTTTGGGGCTAGTACTTTTGGGAGTTGGGGTGGAGCAATTCTCCAGCAGATGGAAGGATTTCTTTAAGGAAGATCACTCATGGTTTTTTAAAAATCATTTCTGATAGGATCAGTGTGCACTGTTCCAGCCATCTGATCA